TGTTTTTTGTCCCCCTTTTTTTAAAAATCTCGACTGGGTCAGCTTTCTTTCCCCATGGCCTTATTTATTTTATCCTTAACGAGAGAGCCTCTTGATTTTGTCTAAAGGCAGAATACAGCTGCCTCTCTTAATTCTTTTGTAGGTTTGACGGGTGCAATTAACATCAGTTGTCTTTATTTTTATTTGTTTTGATATTTTAGTTTATTTTGGGGTTCCTCCCCTCTCGGCTCATTGTATATCATCTATATATTTTTATATATAGAATTTTATGCTCATTAAATGTTTATGTCATGGAGTGTTTTTGTAGGTCCCGTGAGAGTATCGCGGTATTATGGTATATGGAGGATTGAATGAATGATGGATGAGTTCTTGTGGTGGGTGTGTAACGAGTGAATGGGTCGTGAATCGGATTAGCTATGTATAAGATAGTAAGTGTCGACCAGCTTCAGACCCCCTCCATTTCTGGCCTTGTGTCAAAATTGTATTTTATACAATAAATCTTGGTATAAGTACAGGGAAGAATAAGTGTTTTACTAGTGTTTCTTTCATTTCACTTTACGGTCATACAATAATTATTTTAGAGTTATGAAAATAACAACAATAAAATGACAAAAACTCAAGTCAAAATGAAATAATAACATCAATGCTCCATTTGAGAAATCCATCGCCTATTACGTTTAATAGTCTGCCATATTTTATAAACTTGTTAGATGTGGTATTCATTGATTCTCTTCTGTCTACTCTTGCTATCTATACTCTCTATGAGTGTTAAATGCTACAAGCCATACTTTCTCATTATGTATTTCAGAGATCACAAATATGTCTCTCATTGTAAATATGAGTTTTATTTTTCGTTCGCGTGATCCTTAAAACTTCCCGTCCTGGGTATGACGATAAACTATATCCGCGTCCTGGGTAAGACGATAAACTACGTCCAGCAGCAAGGCTTCTGATCAGGAGGTTTTGAGGAGCGTGGAACCACCTCTTAATTGCTGGGGTTCCCAGGTCCACCCTGACGCGTGGTGGTAGTACCTGTTAGGAATCCCAGCTATGGGCAAATAGTTAACCCCGAAATTGGGGTAAAAATGGGTTTTAATACCAAGAATACTTTGTAAAAAAAATAAAAATTATTATCAGCAATAAATTTTTGAAGAAAAAAAAAAACTATTACCAGCAATACATTTTTGAAAAAAAAAAAAAAAAATTACCAACAATACGTTTTTGAAAAAATATTACCAGCAATACATTTTTGTGAAAAAAAAATATTACCAGCAATACATTCTTGAAGGAAAAATTTTACCAGAAATAGAATTTTTGAAGGAAAAATTTTACCAGAAATAGAATTTTTGCAGGAAAATTTTTACCAGAAATAGAATTTTTGAGGGAAAATTTTGCCAGAGATAGAATTTTTGAAGGGAAAATTTTACCAGAAATAGATTAAAAAAAAATATTGCCAACAATAAAAATTATGTCGGTATTAAATAACCCATTGGGGTTGATATGTCGTAAAACCAAAACAAACCAAACCTTAAAACTTCATCGTAGCTCACATGTTTTGCCCATGATATTCTTAGCATCATTCTGTAGAACCACATCTTTGTCTCTTTAGTTCTCATGTGTATCTATGAGAATAGCTAAACTTTTGTAACTTCTTCATACTGATATTTCCAAGTGGTAGTTCAGACTTCCAACTATTCCTCTTGTTGATGACCGTACATTCTGTCTAATAGTTAATAGCTGATACTTTCTTTTCGTTTTCCATTACTACCTTGTCTAGGTTCTTTTATTTGCCTTTTTGAGACTATCGTTAATATGCTGATATCTGCGTATATGACGTTATTGATTATGCCCGCCAATAATAAATCTTTGTAGGTCTTCTAGTTCTCGTATGATCATCTCGTTATATGGGCTGAATAAATCCCGCGAGACAACGCAGCCTAGTCTTACTCCTTTTCTATTTGTATGTATTCATTAAGTCCGTTTTTGATCCGCATGCAGGCTGTTTGTTCCCATTAGAGTTTACAGATTACTCGAATAACTATTCCATATAAATCAAACTTTTCTCGTATTCCAAGTACACCTTGTGTAAATTAATTAAAAAAAACAATAATTCCGTTATTATTTACATTTTTTTCCGCATTTTTCCAATGAAATATGACCCACTGCATATGTTAATACTTCGTACGTCGATTGCAAGAAGTAGTTCCTTGCAGATTGACCACAGATTCTCGATTGGATTTAAATCAGAAGATTTTCCGGGCCAGTCTATAGTACTTTGATTTCCTCACTGGTAAGTCTTCCTAGTGTGTTCGTGCAGTGTTACAATTTTCGTACGCTTCCTTGGAGTAACGTCCATGGCAGACAATGGCAGTAGGACAACTAATCGACAGTCGAGACAATAGTGTCTGGGCGTGATAAAATCTGATGGAATCATGGATGACGCAATATTTTTGAAGACCAAACAAATTTCATCATACACCCCGAAAATAGATTCATATTGCTGAAAACCACATCAAATGACCTAATCTGAGGAAAAAATAGAAATCGATTACACCCTGTCACTCGAGTGGATGTAAAACTGACCGTATGGTGAAAGAAAGTAAATTAAAGTGGTTGTTTCAATTAATTTGCATAAGGATGTGTTGTACCTTATCAAATGATTTTGTGTAATCGATAAAACATAGGTATAAATGTTTCTGCATTTGTATTAAGCGCTCTGATAGCATTCTGATAATAAAGATACCATTTCTTGTTCCATTGAGTAGAAGAAAAAAAAGCCGCACTGTTTTTGCACTATTTCCGGCTCAATTCTATGGACTCTATTTATTACAATACTAATGATAAGTCTTATGTGGTTTATGATTGTCCGATGGAGTTTCGCAATCATTTACACCCGGTTATTTTTTTTTTTTTTTACCTCGCTACGAAGATTGAGACAAGGTGGAGTAATGGATAACGGCTCGGATTGAGGAATCGGAGAGTTGAATTCGAATTCCAGTCGAATCCATTACATTCACTTACGTGCTTGGGAAAGGTGTGGATCCTCTTCTTCTCCTTCCAGCTAGGGGTACATAGCAGGACAGACCAGGTTCTGTAGCCTTGGATGGCAACTGGTCTACCACAGAAAGAAATGGCAACCTACAGCGGGAAAAAATCTGCCTCGTCAGTCATGTATCGAAAGATCGCCTAAGCGTGTATCACGCATGGCACATAACTGACTGACGAAGATTGATCGACTGTTATTTCATTTATGTTTTCAGCTTTTATCGACGTCAAAATTGCAATAGAAATTATATCAGCCTTACTGTCTAAGGCTAATAGCATTTCTATTTACAATTCCATCTGCTTTTGTTTCTTTTGTTTTACGTACTGTAGGTTCCACCCTTTTCACTCTTCTGTTTTCATGGACGAATGTTTCCGATATTTTCATCATTTCTTTGTAGGATATTTTCTTTTCAGATTATGAACATTCCCTTTTTAGATTTTTACATATACTGTGATTTTTATGTCCTGTTTATTTTATATTTCTGTTAATGCCAAGTCTATGTTCCGCAGTGTTTCTATCGCTGCACATTTCTCGTTGAGTCATACATTTGTTGCTTGCGCGCATCCATTTTTAATGTCTTTGCTTAACATCCTAGATTCTTTGACATTCCTTGACTTTTTGTTCACAGTCACGAATTGCTTTCAATTTTCCTCGTTTCTTAACCACAAACATTGAATTAGAATGCCTTCAAATTAATTTTCGTGTTAAAATTTCAACGTTTTATTTCTGGGAAAAGCGTAAATGAAAGTCAAAAAAAGAAAGAAAATCGATGCCCGTTTTCGTGGCTACAAAAAGGTTTTACGTATTTTGAAATCTTGACGATTACGAAATTACGAAATTATTTCTGTAGCTTAGAAAATATTGGAACTGAAAAACACATTGCGGAAAACATACGAAATTTCATCACAGCTTTCCATTCGGGTGTGTTTACATATATGTGTCTGTGTGCTCTCACGCGGCGAGTAAAAGATATTCTTTACCCTTCGCTCTGAGATATTTCCTTTTATTTTTCTTGACTGCAAACAAATGTGTTTTTCCTTAATGTTTTCTCTTTTTCTAATTTCTTTCTGCACTTATTTGTCCTTTCGGCAAATTTAATCGTGACTGATTGACGCAATTTTTCCGTGCTGAAATACTTGCTGAAACTGTACTGAAAAAGTATTTACGGTCTGCACAAAAAGAGTCCAATGGTATGAAACATACCTCGAGTACATTTTCTTCCATCAGGATAGATAGCTTTGTTCTCTCTCTCTCTCTCTCTCTCTCTTTCGCCCTTTCTCTTTTTTCTTTTTCTCTTTAGAATCCTGCGTCTATTCAATGGATTGACCAGGTCAAGTTTAATAACTCGGTTTGTCTTGTCTACTCCTGTCTTTCTGTTCGGACTTGATCAATTTTTTTTTCCAGGAAAATAAAATAAAAAAAGTATTTTTTTCATGTCAATTCACTCATTTCTTTGCTTCAAAAGATGCAAAAACAGACTTTTTTTTTTTAAATTTAAAACTTTCCGAGAAAATTGGTAACTAGATCGCTTTCTTGTAGCATTTACAAATATGAGTTTCAGCCATCATTAATAATCTTGATCGTCTTGGTTCTATAAAGGAAAATGGATGCTTAAATTCGTAGCTAAGCAGAACGAGTTGTAGTCAAAATAATTATCCAGGAAATAAAGTGAAATGTAATTTTTAATAAAAATATAAATTTGACTTTGATTTCCAACTGTTTTATTCTTTTTTTCGAAGATACACAAAAACCTTTTGCATTTTCTTTAATGTACCAAATAAAATGTAAAAGTTAGTTAAAGCTCATTATATGATTGTAATTTGAATCTAACCAAATGCTCTTTTATTATTGCTAATAAAAATTTCGGCCTTTAAAAATGTGTGTGATTTGATTCAATCAGTTGAGATAATTTATTTTGTGACTTTTGCTAAATCATTTCTTTTGTTTTTGCCAGGGGCAGAGGAGGAGAGAGTGAGATGTTTTCCCCCGAGACAAGTGGCCACCCAATTTATGACCCCAACACGGGGTACATGTACAAGAATCCACCAAATCGGTCTTATGAGCCCACATCGCAACATAACCAACAAATGTATGGTGGAAACCAGTACAACGCCCAGCAAACGGCTCAAGATGGCTCAGCTAGTTTTCGATCACTCAGCGATCCGTACAGTCAACCCAACAGTTACGGTTACGTGACCCCTGTGGCCCCGACACCCCGGCACCAGTACTACGCTGAACCCTTTTCACCCCAAACTTATCACCAAAGTCCGGAAATTTACCAGGACAAAAGTCCGTATTATAATAACACCTACTCAGTGAAAGTTACCCCTAGCTACTCAAACGCCTATCCGACTTCGCCCAGGTCGACAAACAACGAGACATACATCGGTACACAGACGTATGTTCCATCGCCAGCCTCACCTGTTACCCAACATCATGGTCAGAATAATTATTCACCTTACCAAAACCGGGTGGCAGAAGTGAAACCAAACTTTGGTCAGAATACAAGTGCTTTTAGTCCCACTGCTGCTGCCCAGCAGGCATCGTATTTTTCAGGAAGCCACCAGGCGCAACCCCAGCAAAAGGAAATTTCTCCTTTATCTAGTCCTACATACAATGCACACATGAACGAAAGATGCTCTCCATATTATATTTCAAGCGGTTACGACGATAACCTGAGTCCTGTAATCCAAACACCAGTATCAGCAGAAGTGAAAGAACGACCAGAGGAAAATCTTTATTGGGCGAAACCAATCAATATTTCGAATGTGCCTGATTACAGATCGAACAGTTATGAGGAAGAGCCTCGTTCATCCAACATGAGTGGATTAATAACTACCGCAGACGATAGTGGTATTGGCGATGGTTATAACCCACCATATTCGGCCGTTAGTCACCACGGCAATCCGCCGTTGAGGGCAAATTCATATCAAGAAGTTAACGAACCTAATTACGTTACTGAGGCAACTGACGAGCCTGCACCGTTGGCTCTATCGCCCCCAGCTCCTCCTCAAGCTCCTCCTCAAGCTCCACCCCCACCTCCTCCTCCTCCTCCTCCACCGCCACCTCCACCAATGATGCCAGATGACTGGAAGCCATCCAAGAAAACATCAAAGGTATGACTATAGAGAAATATAGAAAGTATGGACATAGAAATCAACACTGCATGGTGGTTGTCTGTTTCACGTCTTAATGCGACCGTAAGATCATATATCTGTAAACGCTCTTCCTATATATATATATATATATATATATATATATATATATATATATGAATTACTTAAATATATAAATATATATAGTCTGTTAATATTTTTATTATAATAGATTACAATAAAAACCATTTTGCAGCGCCACAAAAAGGTTTTCATGTTTCAATACTGTTATTGTACCTCGTCAGGCAAATCGTTACCTCTTTTCGGAAGTTAAGGGGGGCATAACTTCCGAAAAGAGGTAACAATTTGTTTTTTAATTTCTGTAATAAATCATTTTTATCACAAGTTATCTACCTTCGCCTGACGAAGGACAATCATATAATTGAAGCATGAAAGGTTTTGTGTAGCGATTTAAAAAGTTTTTATTATAATTTATTATAATAAAAATATTATAATAATAATTTGCACTTCTTTTTAAAAAGTAAATGCTACGAACTGTGGATTTTAATCGATCTGTTCTTATATTTGCATATATATATATATATATATATATATATATATATATATATATATAGTGGTGAAGGTTTCGTGCACACTTTTTGAAGGGCCGAATACAGAGACCTGGTGCACTAAGTTTCCCAAACAACCCTCCTCAGGTTTTGAATTCAGAATTGTCCTTCTCCTAGACCAGTTGCCATCCAAGGCTATAGAACTCAGTCTGTCCTGCTATTTTACCCATAGCTGGAGGGAGAAGAAGAGGATTAACACCTTTCCCAAGGGTATTAGCACGTAAGTGAATGTAATGGATTCAACCTGGATTCGAACTCGGCTCTGCGATATCTGCCGATATCCATACGATATATATATATATATATATATATATATATATATATATATATATATATAAGCTAGCTATGATTATTAACAAAAAAGGCATAAGATTATACAGAGATGAAGAGCTCATCTTAGATCGAACTTTAAACTCTCACAAAGATTCAGAACCGTTAAAAAAAAAATAAGCTACAACCCACTTTATATACACATTTCTTACAGACACTCACCCAGCTTAATCAAACATTTACCATGTACCAGCAGATTATGAAACAACTCGTCAAATTATAAAAGAATCTTCAACAAGTAAGATATAGCGCTAAAGGTATTGGTAATTCGGTAAATTTTAGAGAAATAGGGACATTATCTGATTTCATCTAGCCCATAATCAAAATATAAAAAAACAAATACAAGAATAATGTTCGTCAGACTCATAGAAAAAAACTTCATCAAATCAAGCAAACTAGACAAAATATTCAACAGAAATACACTAAAACTTAGCTATATTTGCAACAAAAGCGTGCTAAAAATTGTAAAAAACAACAACATCCCCAGTTCATAATAATTTGCACAAATCCCCACTTGTAAATGTCCACTAAACACTAATTGCCTACAAAATAACCTAATATACCAAGCTACACTAAGATCGAAAGGAAACCCGTAAAAATATATATAGGAATAACAGAAGATCACTGAAAACCTAGTAAACTACTCGTATAAAACATCATTTAACAACAAAACATGTAAACAGTATAACCCTCTCAAGATATATTTGGAAACCTCAAAACAACGCAAAATACACAAAAAATAACATGAAAAATAATAATAATAATAAAAAAAAACACCCGTTTACACTTCCAAGCATTTAAAACTTTTCCTAGAGAAAAATCCTGATAATTACCTTCCTTGAACAAGATAAACTTCTAAAAAAAAGATCATGGCTCATTTCCAGACGCAGATTTGAAAACAAATCCCTACTATATTACTTACACCCACATGATGATTAAAAGACTAAATAAAACTACATAACTTAAGTCTGATGAATTTAATTTCAAATGCTAAAATTTAAAAATACTTTGGGTATAAATTTTAGCATTTGAATATACAAAAATTAGTAAATGAAATATATGGCTGAAAAAAAAAAATTTAAATAAAATAAGCAAACTAAAAATGATGACTATAAGTAATGTAAAACAAACAAAAGAACCAGGGAATATCTCTTTCTTTTTTCATCCACTTCCTTTAATCCCAGTGATCTATATATATATATATCCCATATGAGTAATAGTGACACATGGACTGTAGATCGCTTAAGGCGTGAAACCGACAGTTACGATGTGTTTTGATTTCTGTGTGCACACTGTCGAGTATATAATATACATATACATAAGCACTTACAAAAATATATACTAGGCCTGCTTGGTGATTGAGGTAGTTATGTCTTTCCCCACTGCTGCCAGGTATCAGTGTTCGTCTCGAGGTAAAGGCCCAAATTTCGAAGGATGTTTTTTCCAGGTATGTTTTTTCCAGGTATACTGACCTTCTATACTTAGAAAGCTGTGGCAGTACAATATATATATATATATATATATATATATATATATATATATATATATATATAATATATAAACGTGAACATTGAAGTCAACACTTAGAGGCGATAGTCTGTTTCATACTAGACCCAATCGTCAGGCCAATCGTCAGGTGGCCTGACGATTGCGTCTAACATGAAACAACTGTCGCCTCTAAGTGTTGACTTAACGTTCACTTTTACATTTACACACGCTCAATCTCTGATATTGAGTACTTTATCCCATAAATATAGCACACCTTAAGACTATATTTCTTCATATATATATATATATATATATATATATATATATATATATATATATATATGTGTGTGTGTGTGTGTGTGTGTTACTAAATTTGATTGCAATGATTGTCACTTAAAACTTGTTACTTGTACTAATTAGTTAGGGTAGAAGGTCAAATTTTAAAAAAATTATTCCATATTTCGAGTATTGTTTATATTTATTTATTTATTTTATTTATTTATTATGAACTGTTTTGGGAGGTAAATTTTCGCGTTTCCACAGGAACTTGTTGATTGTATTCGGTCTTAAAAAATACAATTAATTTATTCTTTTTCCTCCTTTTCAACAAAGACACGGTACAACAGTTTTACATCCTTTTCTCTTAAAAGGTCATTTGAATTCTACCCCCCACGTGTTTTAGGAATTAAGCATCATTTTTGCATAAAGAAAATGTAAATAGGATAAATCTTTTATTTTTTTGATAAAATGACAATAATGTTCATTCATATGAATGCATAAACGCATTATCACCAAATTTGTTTTGACATCCTGTATATAAAGTACAGTGTATGTGTGTGTTTGTGTGTGTGCGTGTCCAAGCAACTCCTCCGCTCACACTGATCCGATTTCAATGATTCATAGCTCATTCAAAAGCCTTAGAAAAGTTAGAAGCAGGGAACGATTTTCGTTGAGCTCAGATTTAGGGTTGTCAGATTATGCGAGGTTAAAAATATATATTAATATATTATACTAGCCATTATCGCTGCTTTCATGGTTCAAGGGGAGTAACTCTTATTTTCCTTGTATCCAAAATTTTAAACTAGCTAAAATTTTAAGCTAGCTTAAAAGCCGTTCTATTGGCGGTATTTAAACTAGCTCCTGTGGAGGATTCTTGGTTTGGCCATCATCAAAAAGAGGAGTAGATGCAATAGCATCAATAAACTACAGAAGAACTCAAAATTGAGCGCTGCATTTAAGAATTGAATTAATGCTTAAGCTTAGATTTTAAAAGTTCAATGATAATTCTTCTGCTGCTACTTAAAGACGATTTGATGTACGCAGATCTTTATTTTCCGTACAATTATTTTTATTTCATGGGTGACAGAACAAGAGACAATTTATAAGATAAAATTAATATAGTGTAAAAATGGGAAAATAGAATTTAGAATAAGTTATACATTCAACATTTGAAGAGTTAGAGAAATATAATAACTAATTAAGTCAAACCTACATTATTGAATCGATATGAATAAATGCGAAATTGAGCTCAATTCTCCCACGAATTAAAAAGACCCACCCTTGGCTCAATATCTGTATTATATATTATTTACTTCTAGGCAATATCACTCTTCAGGTTTAACTAATTTGCATTTTGATTTTAAAAAAGTTTATTTTATTAATTGACTGTCTTTCATTAATGTTCTTTTTTTTCGAGGATTGTTTAGATTTTCATATCAAAAATAGTTCTGTTTAGGAATATTGTCTTATATAGTGCAGAAAAGTGTTTAAAATTTGCATTTTACTTGACCTTCAACAAGTTGGCATCTATTTGTAAAACTTTCCTTAAGTATAACAAGCCAATTTATGAATGAAACGTTCATTTAAAATATTTGTTTCAAGGATTTCAAGTAGTGAATATATTTTACTTTTCGAAGTGATAGCGAGCGGGCGAAACCTGCTAGTTTACAATATAACACCTGTGGGAAATTTGTGTATTGGATTCAATTCAGTCTTTCACCTGTCAAACTTAGTTTTAAACTTTATAAGATATTTTTGTAATTAGCGAATAAGCGGCAACGGGTTACCACAAACAAAATATCATCCCACTCCTTCCAGGGAGGGACGGGTGATTTTTAAGTTATTAAATACGACATACACCTGGTTATTTTATCGATTTTTGTGTTAAAGATGACGATCGTAGTTCGAGTATTATATGGAATAATGAAAAACTGCGACTTTAAACTTTACGAAAAAAAAAAAAAAAAAGAAAAAAGAAGAAGAAAAGCACAAAAAATAAGCCGTTTACGTTAAATTATTATCTGTTAAGTCAGAGTGTATTAATAAAAGTTTGATTTCTCTGCAACTGAATTTCTCTTCCGGCATTTATTTTCGCGGTTGTCTCTTAACATGATTTTTCTCATAATAATTACTAACTTTTAAAATTTATACTTTGTTTTGACAATGGATATAATCAAGAGGTTATTTGATACAAACTATCGGAACGAACAGAAAGACAAAGAAACCATGTTTGATAGAAGCGTGTGTGTATATCGTGATATTTTAGGGTGGGTTTAAATATAGAGTGATCTCCCTTAGATA